GGTGGTAATAGCGTTGGCAAAACAAGAGATGGGGTTTTGGAGCAAAGAGGGGGGGGGGGGGGGGGGTACCCTTAAGTCAAAGTCATAGAATCTGTCGAAGTTGCGACAAAATCGTGATGTTTTCTGAAGTTTTGTTTTCTTCTAAGCTGGTGTATGATATCTAGGCATACTTTTTATTTGGTTGTATGCAATAAATGACGGGCTTTTAAATGAAATCAAGGAGAATAGGATTGAACCGAACTTGAGTTGTATGTGGTTAAAATAGTGTTATGGTTTTGTGACAGAAATTTTGTTCCTTTTTTTCGGTTATATACCCCTTTGAAGAATGATCTTATTAGTACTCGATATTGACACGAGGAAGTCCAGTTCGATAGGAAAATCTTTGGCATTTCATGTTGCATCAAAGTACATCGGTTTCAAGGAGAACTAATGCGTTTTTATAAAGAAACACCCATGGACTCATCCAGGGTCTTAAACACCTCTGTCCTTTTAGTATGTGCAGAACAGGTCCATCAACATCATTTGTGAATATTTCAACCGTATTCAACTGCATTTCGTTGTAATATTGAAAAGAGAAAGTGAAAAAACGTGATTCGGTCATGCTTCAACAGGCCGCATTGCAACCATTTCTCCTACATTACTTTTTCTTTTTGCTACACTTGTTTATGCACAGGAGCAATATGCCTATCGAACGTGCATCTCTATTCTGTCTTTACTACCATTACCTTGTTATTCTTTTTCTTCATGGATATTTGCTTGTAAACAATCTTATTTTTTCTCGCATATACATACTTATCATATAGTCATTTGACGATCATTATAAAGCATGTCTCTCGGGTTTACTATCTGGTTTGGTATCATTGCCATTTTGTTAATTATCTTGATTTTTGTTGCTTATGTCCAACGTCAACACGGCTATTTTGTAAGAGCAAATATTCCTGGTCCGCCACCAACGTTCCTACTCGGTAATTTACCACCTCTCTGGAGAGCATCAAATTCATTTCGCCAGTTGGAGACTTGGACAGGTCTGTATGGCAAGATTTATGGCATGTTTGAAGGCACTCTTCCGATTTATGTTGTATCTGACGTGGACTTTCTTGAAGAAGTGTTTATCAAAAAATTCGATAATTTTAGCAGTCACAAACCGGTTTTGGGTGCTCTACCTCGTAAAGACAAACGAGTTCATTTATTTGATGCTTACGGACCAAGATGGCGGCGTCAACGACGTGTTATAAATCCGACATTCAGTAAAGCGAAGCTCACACAAATGGTCCCATTGCTGAATGGTTGCATAGATGAACTCATGAAAATTCTCGCACCTTTCGCTGATGACAAAGCACTGGACATTGATATTCGACCTTTGTATGCACGAATGTACATGGATGCAGTGTGTAAGCATATCAGCTAAGAAATTTTAATAATAAAATATCTTCTTTAAGGTCGTTGTGCATTCTCATTCGATACAGATGTGCAACAAAATCCCAACAGTGTCTATTTGAAAAAGTTCAACGAATTTATAAGAGTCGACCATCGAAAGAGGCTTTTCGTTAAACTCGCTAGTCTGTTACCATCATTAAGTGGTTTTGTTTTACAAACGACAATTCGAACTAACTCATTATTAGTGAAGTTGAACAAAACATGTTCTTTTTTCAATTTCTCTGAGCTGGCCATTGTTTGGCTTCGGGATCATATCGGTGAACACGTTTTACGTGCTCGAAAAGACAAAGAAAGTAATCGCGTTGATCTTCTTCGTCTTATGCTTGATGCAGCCACTGATGAAGCCATTCCGGTAAGAGCACAAGAAAGGAATATTCTTAAGTGACAGTGTCTGAAACACATCGATTGTGATTCTGATTAATTCTAGGACGATGAAGATGATAATGGCGAGGGTATAATAGAATCATCAGAATTACCAACTGTCACTAAACAGAAGTTGACATACAACGAAATCATAGCCAATGCCTTTCTATTTTTTATCGGTGGAACACAATCCACATCGTCCACGCTTTCCTATTGTACATTTATATTGGCTACTCATCGTGACATTCAACAAAAAGTACAAGACGAAATCGATGCAAATACTGATGACAGCTCCCAACTTCCAACATATGATATGATTGAAAAGATGGAATATCTGGATATTTTTATCAAGGAAGTCACTCGTATATATCCTGTTCTACCTTTCGTTTTAAATCGACTGTGTACTCGAGACACGACAATTGGAAAACACAGCTTGGAAAAAGGTGAGTTAATTTTCCAACACTCAGGAGGCAACTGTACAACTTCTTGAACATTGTTTTATCATCATAATTTTAGGTTCTGTCGTTCAAGTCGATGTCTACAGTGTTCATTTCGATCCCGATCTTTGGGGCCCTGTTGATCCTCATCAATTTTACCCTGAGCGGCATCTGAGCAAACGACATCCGTTGGCTTACTTATCATTCGGTGCGGGACCGCGTCAGTGTGCTGGCAAGCGGCTTGGTCTTTTAGGACTGAAAATGGCCTGTGTTCGTCTTCTCAGGGAATTCACAGTGCTTCCAAGTGACAAGCTTCATAACTCATTTCGCATCGTCGAACTCAACTCGCTCGTCCCTGAAGGTGTGTGGATCAAGCTAGAACGTCGCAAAAAAATGAATTGATTAGCACTAATTATATTAGATGGTTCTTTTTTTCTAATAAATTATTGGAATGAATTATCTGATTGAAATCTTTGACTTAATTGAGATGAAATCTTCAGTTGAGAATAGATGTCGAAGCCAAAAAGACAAGTAACATGCCCCTAATGCGGATTTACTTGACCATAGATTGAGAGAGCGTAGAACATAAACATGAAATAAATTCGTAGTGATGTATTGTACATATCATCTTCTGATATTTGTTATATTGCTCGTTTAAGGGTAGTCTTTCTTTTTTCGTCAAACAGCTGGTTTTGAGTTGTCATGTAAGGTGATAGCCCTGAGTGTCATTTATAATTAGACACTTTATTCGACTCAAACCAACTTATTGCTTCAGGATATCAAAGTTTTCAAAGTTTTTGCTGGAAAGCAAGTATAATAAAACTCTTCTCTGGTATTTTCTTATCGAAAAACTCAGATTATATCGATCTAGCCTGCTTACGACCCTTCGTTGACCTTCTCTGGTTAGGATGCAATTTCGATATAAGTCAAAATAGATAATCACTTTGATATCATCTATTCCATTGGAGAAAATGAATTACGATTTTGATCGACTTCTGTCTATTGTTGCAAGAAGAGTGCCTTAGCTAACACAGAATCGAGCCATTCGAGCCAGACTCTTAGTCACTTTGGCCTGATGGCCTCTTAGGTCGTATTTTGGGCAGAGAGAGTAACACAGAAATGGCATGAGGCTGGTACATAGGTGGCGGAACATGTAGGCTGAGTATGGGTTTTGCCTCATCAGGACTGTACACTATTGGGCTGAGTCTCATTCAAACATGTCGTGCTAGAGGAAGGCTAATCGTATTATAAAGCACTGACAAGGGAACCTTCCCAGGCGCCAGAGCGCTTTTCAGTCGGGGTTTTGCCCATCTTGTAGCCCATAGTGAGCTATGTCTATGGTTAAAAAAGTTCGTCCCCCTGGCTTGTTTCTGAAGAGATAAAGCATTTTTATTATTACAACTATAAGAGAAATCTTATCAGTAAAAAATTAATATGTCAATCAATACTCATTGAAACGAATGGAGATTTTTCTCACATATAGTTATACTCATGTGGAACATAATGTGGAAGTTTCAGCTCAAACAACCTTGAGAAGATTCAATTATTAATTTTAGGCAATAGTAATGTCATTCTATATGTCGTTATATATAATATTTCCCAGAATTATAAGATAATTCAAGTCTTTCGAAATATTATATTTATTTTCACACCTATCCTATGGGCTACAACCTCGTTTAAATGATAAGTTACATATATAGTGATTTTTCGATGTGCGAATAATACATACAGTGAAACCTCTATTAATGAACACCTCTCTATAATGAACACCTCCCATTTGAACAGATGTTTCAGAACCCCCGGTCAATTTTAGCTATAAGTAGATCTCCGCAAGATGAACACCTCCTGTAATGAACACATTTTGAACAGTCCCGTAAGTGTTCATCTTAGAGAGATTTCACTGTATTATTAAATGAGAAGAAATAAACCAAACCAATTTACATAGATGGATTAAACATATACCAGGTGTGTACGAAAGAGAAAAATGATATATAATAAAGTATTTATCTGATATTCATTTTATTCGTTTCTAACGAAAATGATAAACGCATCGATTGTATTCTCTCTACTCTCAGAGAAGTTTTCTCAATCTGAAGCATCTATAAAAGTTAATTTTCGAGCACCATTCATACGTGAGCAAGAAATTGCGAACCATTTGGCTGAACTTTTGCATTCAATTATCAACAGTCACACGTTTACTGTAGAAAGTGAAAGTACTCTTGATTACATTTCCAATGAATTAAGTGAAGATGATGTTGATCAGTATGTTGCATCAGATGACTCTGAATTAGATCCAGATTTCAACGATACAGGCGACGACGAGGGTGGCGTTCTTCTTCAAAATTTTTCTCTAGATTACATGAAAAAAGTTGTTGAATATTATGACGAAAAGGATCCTTTAACAGAAAAACGTCGTCGGTCTTGGAAAAATGTGAAACATCGATTTCAACGTGTCAGAGATTTATCATATATTTCTCGTTTTCGTGCTTATATTGAAAAGGGGGGAACGAGAATGCAAAAATTGGAAAATGTAAATAATTATGTTTATCATAAATTTGAACAAGCTCGACAATCTTATCTTCCTGTGCATGATCTGGACTTGCGTCGCTGGGGCTTAGAAAAAGCTAAACAAGAATTACTTCATGATTTTGTCGCTTCGGAAAAATGGTTATTTAATTTTAAAATACAGCACAATATATGCTCAAGAAAAGTGACCAAGGTGAGTAACTCCTCTCCGCTGTTTACAATAGGGTGATCCCTATTTTACTGAACTTGAAGTTAGAAACTATTCTGCTTTAGGTAGTAACAACTAAACAAGTAACAAATAAAGAAGAAGTTCAACATTCTGCAGATGAATTTGTATCAAGTGTACGAGATCTTGTACCAAAATATGATCCTGATTATGTGATTAATACAGATCAATCTGGTATTCAGCTTGAATTTCATTCAACTCGTACTCTTTCTTACAAAGGAGAAACGACTACTGCCTTAACTGTTCGTTCGAAGAATGCGATCACGCATTCATTCACTGTGCAACCATGTGTTAGTCTTAGTGGCAAACTTGTCGGACCACTTTTCCTTGGTTTAAAGGAATCCACTGGNCTTGTTGGCAATTGTTGAATTTGTTATGTCTATTTCTCAATAGATACAATGAAGAAAAAGAAAAAAAAATAACTATAGGAAAATTCCCTGAAGACACAAATATCGGCCAGCACTTTAGATAAATGAAAAATATTCAAAAACATCTTGTTTATGCTCGTGAAAAACTTCTTCATATGATTCTCATCACTTTAAATGAAATGAGAAGAAAATACAACTATCTGTAGAAAACTTCGTTGAAGAAGCAAATATTTGCTAGCATATTACAGTGAAACCTCTATATATGGGCACCTCCACAACAAGGGCACCTCGCTTATATGGGCACTCGTCGGAACGACCGATCGATTTTTGCTGTAAATGAACCTCTTTAAGAAGAGCACCTCCGACCTCTGCCCTTGGGCACTGATTTTTAGCCCATTCTGTACTTTTACACCTCTCTTACATGGGCAGATAGAATGAATTTTGTCTTCAACATTGTTCTTTTTCTCGTCGTACCTTATTGTTCGAAGAAAGGGAAAGAAAAAAGTTAGTCCGATGTAAAAAAGAAAATTACTCGTCGATACATTTTTTGTCGTTTTGTCAATGAGAACAAGAGTATAAATTGTCATGTTATTTGACATTACTCTTCAATATCATTAATAAATGACGACGTGTCATTATCTCACGCTCGATAAGAAGATCGAATTGATCAACGACTATGCTGATGGCACTGGATTATCACAACGCAAATTATGTGATAAGTACAAGGTTTCAAAAGGTGCTGTATATAATATTCTGCAACGAAAAGACGAATACAAGCAGGATTTCCAATCAAATGCAAACAAAGGTGTCAAACGCAAACTGCAGAATGAGTCAAGCCACAACATCGATGAAACTGTTTTATCATGGTTCGCAGCACAAAGGGCAAAAAATATTCCAATCTCAGGGCCCTTGATTCAAGAAAAGGCACGCGAAGTTGCTGAAGCGATCGGGCTTTCACCCAGGTAAGTCTCTTGAGAACAACACATAATTTATAATAGGTGCCATATTATTGAATTGCTTCACTGATCACTTTTTGAAGCTCTTGAAATGATTCGAAAACTTCATCTGCTCGCATCTACACGTCAACCACAACTCCATCAACTCGTCACTGAATTAGAATCGAAACTGACTGATGCTTACATTGATTCAAAAACTAGCAAGCAAAGTTCTATTATTGATTTCTTTCCAAAAGCTTGATTGTAAATAGGAAAATAGAAAATAAACTTAGACAAAATAAGATATCAAATAATTTAGAATAAAATATTGAATACACTCAAAGATATAAAGGTCGCTTCACATTACATAAGTATGGGTGCCCTTTGATGGTGTAGCTTGCAGAAACATTACGGTTCGATATCTATACACAAAACTCTATAACGCGGGCACCTCCGTAAGGTGGGCGATTTCAAATAGTCCCAAAGGTGCCCATCTATGGGAGGTTTCACTGTATATAAACGAAAAATATGTATAATTCATGACTAGCTGCTAATTTGCGAAAATAAAAGAAAACAAATATCCACGAGTATGTTTGATAAACCAAAAATATTCTCCAGTATCTGATTTACAGTCATTCTATGCATTTCAATGGTACATGTTTCAATTGATGAAATATAAGAAAAGAAAAAAAATAATAAGTATAGTAAAGTTCATTGAAGAGAGAAATATCGAATAGCACGTTAGATATACGAAAACAGTTCGCAAGTAATGAACCTATATGTGTGCTGTGTTTTCATATCAAATGAAAAATGAAGTCCTTTAGTGATATACATAGTTTTCTTTCCTGCAACGTTATATAACTATTTAAAATTGTATTTGATGAGAAAAGTTCCTTAGATAGGTGACGAACTTTTAGTAAATTGGAAATTTTTTGGACCTTTGACAGTGCTGAAATAAAACTGCTTCGTATTAAATCAATATCCAGGATTATTTTATTTTACAGATAGTCCTTTCACTATTTCGAACTTT